TACGCTATTTTCCATAGCGCTCTCCACTTCAGCAACATCATCCAGAGCTTTTTCCTCTGCTGGCTGGACCAGCTTAGCCTTTGTTGCTACCTCCAGCCTATCCTGCACTGTGTGAGTCAACTCCTGATCTGCTCACTCTCCCTCTGCCTTGTGTTCTCTCAGGAACGAGTTTCTGGTCATTCTGCCTCCACCACCGGGGTTACAACCAGTGCGAGTTATTGGTCCTTCATCTCTCCTCCTCTCTCATCTACCTCCATCAGCCTGGGACGCCGCAGGCACTTCATCTTCCCACAACCTCTAACGCATGGCCCAACACAGGAGGGCCACTCAGACTGTAATAAAACCACCTTACCTATGTCTTCACCTTGCTCTCTGGGTCCAGCCTATTTTATATCCTCTCTTACCACTTGGTGAGAGAATAGCAGCCGTAGTCTGGTTTAAACCAGGTTTAAACTTTAAACCAGGGAACACCCTGCGGCAGAGACTGGTCCACCCGAAAGACAAAACACCCAGACATAAACAAAGTGATGTGGTGTATGCAATTAAGTGTAGTCGGGAGTGTAACGACTTGTACATTGGTGAAACTAAGCAGCCGCTTCACAAACGCATGGCCCAACACAGGATTGAGGAGGAATATCTGAATAAGTTGGCTTTTATTAGCTCTTTTATAGAGTGAGGGGCTTACTAGTGTATATATTGTGGGTGATATGAATGCAGATATCTCAGACAAGAACTTGTTTTCGCGAACAATATGGTGCATTTTTGTGCTGATAATAAACTGATTCTGTCTAGTAGTGAGCTTATGCCAAGGCAGAGCTATACATATATAAGTGAGGCCTGGCATACAACATAGACCACTGTATTTCGACAGCTGATGCACATGCTGCTTTGGAGAATATTGCCATTCTATATAACATGTCTATTTCTGATCACATTCCTGTAAAGATGGCTGTTAGATTTGATTTTATACCTATTTTAATTCAGACTAACCAAGACCATGAAAGGTTTGGTTGGTCCATTCTTTCTGCAGAGGATCTTGCCTGCTACTGTTCTGACACTGATAAACTGTTACATGATATTACTCTACCTAGAGAGGCTGATATAAGTGAGGCCTGGCATACAACACCGTGGCTAGACCACTGTATTTCAACAGCTGATGCACATGCTGCTTTGGAGAATATTGCCATTCTATATAACATGTCTATTTCTGACCACATTCCTGTAAAGATGGCCATTAGATTTTATTTTGTACCTATTTTAATTCAGACTAACCAAAAGCATAAATGGTTGGATTGGTCCATTGTTTCTGCAGAGGATCTAGGCCTATATTTGAGCTTAAAAACCGTACAAGCGCAGAATATAAGTATGCTATAAGATTTATTATGAAAAAGGAACAAAAGCTGAGGTCTGACTTTATGGCTGAAAAACTCCTAAGGAATAATACCAAATCATTTTGGAAAGACGTTAAACATATTAACAGCAGTAGATTTTCTCTATCCCCCACACTATTGATGGAGTTTCTGGCCCGGATAAGATAGTTGAGCTTTGGCGACACCGCTACTGCAATCTATTTAATTGTGTCTCTAGTGAAGCTTTCTCTATAGGTAGGGCTGACTTTGTTGACTCCATTAAAACATGTGAGGTTTCTCAAGCAATATGCAATTTGTCAGCAAATAAGTCTACTGGGATGGACCGCATTTCTGTAGAACATCTTAAATATGCTAGTTTGAGGTTGGCACCTCTTTTAGCTACTGTATATGCTTTACTTCTTTTATTATGCATGGGTTTATGCCTGACTCTTTGATGTCAGTGCTTTTAGTCCCGGTGGTGAAGGATAAAGTAGGAAAGGTGGGCTGCTCAGATAATTATAGACCCACTGCACTTGCTAATATATTTTCTAAAGTTGTTGAAGAAATTCTCCTGAGTAGGTTTCATAATCTCATTGGCTCTACTGATAATCAATTTGGGTTTAAAGCCAATCATGGCACTGATATGTGTATTTTTGCTTTGAAAGAACTAGTTAGTAAAAATAAAAGTAAAACTTCTACCTTATTTATGTGTTTTTTTAGATGCTTCTAAAGCTTTTGATCGTGTGAATCACAGGAAGTTATTCCCGACATTGTGTGACGCTGGAGTGCC